AATCACAAGCAGCGCCTTCTTTATTCGGCGCCGCAATTTCGTGGCGTCCTGAAAATAGGAGACCTAGCTGTGTTGGCAAAGGGCTGCTAATGGTCAATGGCGAACTTGGCAGCAAGTTGCGTCTGCGGAAGTCATGTGTAAAGGCGGAGTGGCCAATCGACCCAGATGCTAAAGTTCAGTTCGGTCTGGGTATCGTGCAGGACAGCAGAACGCCACATGGCATCCCCAAGCTTCACGTGCAACTTGTAGCAGCTCCGGCAATGCGCGCTTGCTTGGTGCCTGGGGAGAAGAGGCAACAGGCCAAGGCCGAACTTCGTGACTTCTGCTCGGAACGACGGGCCGACCTATAGGAGACAATGCAGGCTCAGGCTTGGGCTTTGCCGCGCCCCGCGCAGCCGCAGCGCTTATGCCATAAGCTGCAGAATTTTGCCCCTAGCAGCCGACCCATTTTCTTCAGAGAGCGGAGCCACGCAGGAATTCCTCAGCATCGTGTCCAATTGGAGTACCAGGACTCCACCAATTTCACCAATGATCCCACGCCACTGAACATGCTACGGGTCACCGAGGAAAATGAGCAACCATGGGATTTCCGAGCCATCCGACCTACGGAGGCCATGCTACGAGGTGGGCGTCGTTTTCTGGCTGAGGCACGGCGGCAGCAAGCGGATCCCCACCTTCCACTTGAAGGATTCGGGGCTGGCTACTTTGCGTTGCCAGACGTCGCGAAAGATCTTGGACCCCATGAATGTCACGTCATCGTTGATGGCAAAATCTTGACAGGCTCCATCGTGGTATGGCGAAATCCAGTCATGCTTCCCGAAGACATGGAGATCTGGCAGGCGAAGCTGCTCCCTCGTGCAGAATACATGCGATTTGTCCCCAACAACTGCATCATCTGCAGTTGTCGCGGCGGGGTGACCAGCCTAGCCGGAGGTGATTACGATGGGGATGTTATTTCTATTGATTCTATTTCCTGTGATGAGGACTTGCTGCGCATAGTTGCCAGCACCCCTGATGGCTAGTCCTTACAGAAGCTCCGTGGCGCAAAGCGTTTTGCCAAAGATAAGCTGCCAGCTGCAAAAGACAGGTGTCCTTGCGACAGCTTTCTGGCGTACTTCGATTTCCTCCGGCAACTGGTTAGCAGCACACAGGTCGAAGCCACAACTTTTCAGTCTTTCGGGACGACACCATCTTCCGACAAGATTTTGATGCCAATGCGTGTGTTCTGAAAACGATGCACTGCAAATTTCGGTTGAGCTGGAACCAGGCAGCTTGCGCTATGGGAACCAATGCTAACTGGACGGTTGAAGCACTGGTTCCTCAAGTTCAAGCTTCCCAAGGCTTAAGGCCGTAAGATGCACACAAAGCGCTGTCAGCTGTGTAGCTGGTGAAGTTCCCTATCCTTGCAGTTGTTTTCGGTGTCGAACGCCGTCATATGCCGCATTCGGCGATAAAACTTGAGACCGGGTCGAATACCTTTTGTTTCAAATCAAAAAGCACGGCCTCACCCCGCAGTGTGCGCGCAGGCTAGTCACAGAGGTGCTTGCGAGCATGTCCCCTCGCTGTATATTCACATCAGCCGAGAGTGATTTGCGACCAGCTCTTGGAGGGACTGCAGTGTTTATGCCGCACCGATCCCCGGTAGTTCGGATCCGGACCAGGTTTGAGCGGCCAAGGTTACGGCGCCTTGTGCTTGTTTCGATCAGTTTAGTACGGAATATGGGACAAAAATACTGTCAGACAAAGCAAGATGAAGAGCGTATTCGTTTTGTCGGACTAAATGCGTCAGGCAAGAGCCATGAGTCGTGCGCTGTGTGTTCCTTCTTGCACTGTGTTGCACATAGGTCCTCACCGGGACGAAGGCTGTCGTGGAGAAGGCCATGGCTGTGGGTCCGCAAGCAGGCGCGGCGAACACGACAGCTCGTTCTTGTTTGATCCGGTGTCATCTGTCAGGATTGCGGTCGGTGGCGGGCCCAGGGTTTGGTTTGGTTTCGCTTCATTTCAAGGCACGAGTGCTGTGACCGGTTGAAAGCGTTGTGAGGAGGATGACACCGCGGCGGCCTCTGTGGCACGGGTGGCTGCTCTTGAGGCTGTCTCGCATGCTCCATAGATGTGCAGTCGCGATGAGGCGGTTCAGCCTCGTCGCATCCGAACCTTCAAGGCACGGGTGTCGGAATTGAGTGGCACAGCTCGCACAGGATAAGGCCGGATCAGGCATGTATGTGGCACGCCTGTTGCAGGTCTTAGACAATCCCTTCGCCAAGACCAACGGGCAGGAGACCCGGGGCTCTGGTTTCAAGCTGCCTGTTTGGTAGGATCAACGGGGGTGTCCTACTGTCGCTGAGGTATAACATGCCCCAAGGCCTGCTGAAGGAAATCGTCCGATCCACCAGGTGCAAGATGTGCAAGCAGCCTTTGCCATCTGTGGATTGTGGATCCGATTCAGTGCAACTTGCCAGGAAGTCCGACGACGAGGATCGTGTCCGCAAATATATCCTCCTTTCCTGATCCGCTTGTTGCGAGTTTTTGAACCTGTTTGCCTCCCAGGATGGGGATGAGGCCGCTGATGCTCGCTTGAGAACGCTAGGACGATCTTCTGTAGGGGTCAATAGGCGTCCTGACACGAAACGCCTCAAAAGCATGGCATGCCGCATGATCGTAGTCGGCTGTCGTTGAGCTGGGGGTTGCTACCTGGCAGGTTCGACGAGACTGAGCTTTGCCTCTCGCCCTCACCGTGGAAGGGTGGTGCAAGAAGCGCCGCCTCTGCTAATGGACAGAGAGGGCCCCTTTCGAGCCGCGACCGCCATGTACTTCTGCTCTTCGCGCTCGAACATAAAGGAAGGCGTCGGTGTGGACCTTCTTACGTGTAAGTGTAAGTCTCATCCGCGCAGACGTTTGCGGTGGAAGCTGGCTTGTCCCTCGGATAATGCATCCTTGCGAGCCGGGCAACGAAATCTGTTGCAGGGACGCAAGCACGAGTGCAAAAAAGGCTCTTCTGCTATGGGAAGCACTCGGATGCCAGATACAGGTCACCGTGGGAAGGCATCCGACCACCCCCCCCCCCAAAAAAAAAANNGAGGAAGCCCCCCCCCAAAAAAAAAACAAAACCTGGAAGTGCAGGCGCCAACAGGAGTCAAGCCGGCATGCTAGGAACAGCAAGTCCAAGTAAGACCCATAGCAATAGTAATGGCCATAATGATTTTGATGGCGATGGTCACGTCACTGTCACGTTCATGGTCTTGGTCGTGTCATGAGCATGTTCATGGTCATTGTGATGGTGATGGCGACGGCAATCGTAATTGTGCATGTTTTTCTGTCATGTAATGAGGGTGCTGTTCAACACCTTTTGGAATCTCTACATCAGATGTTGTATGTCGGATGTCATGTTCTTTCTTGCTGTGTGTGTGTGTGTGTTGTCGTTTATTTTGGTAGTCTGTTTGCTATACCGTTGGTACAGGTATCGTGATTCGTTGCTTTGTCTTTCGTTTTGCTGAGCAGCCAGAAAGTTGAAAGAATTGTCGACACTTGATGTTGTACATTGGCTTTTGTTTTTTTCTTCGCTTTGCTTGCGGCTGTGTATTGTGCTTTGCTATACGTTTGACAGAGGCTGCGTCTTCAGTTGTATATGCAATCCCCTAGAGTTTGGTGGGCGCCCTGGTGCAGGACATTTACAGTACGGCCCATTTCGTCCGCGTCTGGTTCTCAATCGGGGCAATAGCGTGTCCATACTTGGTCTCCTAGTGGTTGTTATAGGGTGTCCAAATTGGAATTAGTCGTTCCGTTTTTGGTCCTTCTGAAGTTCCTGTCAGGACCCTTCACTCGGGTCAGGAGTTTGCACTTGGAACCGTTTCAAAGTGCTAGGGGTTAGGGAACTTCGTTGGGGGAGGATTAAGAAGTATTGAACCATAAGTCGCTTCGGCCTGGGAAGCCTGTTTTGGGCTGCAGAGCCAGTCACACGTTTGAACCGGGCCCAGGAAAGGGCCAAACTAGGATCAAATTCCCGGCCTGAGGGACAAGTCCGGGACCCAAATAAGGGCACATTTTGTTCCCTAAGTCGGATCGGATAAGAGTCAAATCCGGGCCCCAGGCAAAGGGACAACTGTGCGGGATTTTGGCTTTTATCGCGGCCAACGTTGGTTTCTGTTTGGCCTTTATTTGCTTCCTGCTGGCGGTGGTGGTGGTGCTCCTGCTGCTGTGGTGCTGTTGCTGTTGCCGCTGGTGTCGGTGCTTTCTTCTTCTTATTCGTATGTTTCTTCTTCTTGATCTTCTTGTTGTTGTGGTCATATTCTCGAGGGTGCAGGCACAGCTCTTGACGTGTTTAATCTGTGTTTCATGAGCATGAATTAGTGACGTGATTGGCAGTGCATGTTGTGAGCTAGGGAGGAGGCACGTTGACGATGACAATATTTGCCCTTGCTGCTGTCCCTAAACCCGAACATGCCCAAAGTCGGCCCAAGTAAGAACCAAATGAAGGCCCAATTAAGGCTCAACTATGGCCCAACGGAAGGCCCAAGTAAGGCCTCAAATGAAGGCCCAACTACCATCGCCCAAGTCAACGTCTTAAGTCGCAGGCATTTGCCACGACAGGGGCATGGGTCCCTGCAACAAGCAGTGTGCAGTCCCGCAGCTTTTGGCTTTGATGCCAGTGCTAGTCACACGTGGATTTTCCCCCAGGCCCAAGACGTAAAGCCGAACTACACCAGGAAACCTGCGACAAGAAAGCCTTGACGTCATGTCTGAAGATCAAGGCAGCCTGATCCTCCGAATCCGAGCATCCCAACACCCGACCCCTTGCAAGGGGCGGATTGCACGCTTGCCCGACAGCCTTGCTAGCCCCTGTGCCCGAACCCTGCCCACCTTGATGAGGCCACCAAGTCCGCCAATCACGCGGCGGATGTCTAGCAAGAAGATCAAAAGGAAACAGCCCGTACCGAACTTTGCAATCCTAGTGCAATCATTGCAACTCGTGGGCTTGGATCGCTGCGTTTCGGCGCAGGGCCATGCCAAGGCACGGCCCTGCCAAGAAAGCGTTGCTCCCGTTGGGGTTGTTGCGTGGTTTTTGCCTTGTGCTGCTGTTGTTGTTGCTGCTGCACACGCTGCAACCATTGTACTTGCTGTCGCTGCTCCTCTTCCTCCTATGCTTCCTTCCCACTTGTCCGATTCTCCTTATGATGGAATTGTCGTATTGCGGTTGCAGATCTCACTAGTTCTGGATCCAGCAGTTATGGGCCTCTGTAGTCACGACATGCAATGCATGAGAAGGTTGGTTGTTAAAGATCTTCGTAGGCGCTGTGGTGTTCTGTGCTTTCTGAGTCGACCCACGTCGTCTGTCGTCGCCGTAGCTGCTGCAAGCAAGTCGCCGATACCACCGCCAAAATTGCCTTTGTCGCAGTAGCTCTTGTCGTTGTGATCATGGAGCAAAGCATCTCGCCGTTCCCAAACATCTCAAATATCTGTCGTGCAAATTAGTGCATGTCCCCCAGGCCACGGGAGAAGCTCGGTTGGCCGGGTCCTCGGGGCCTCCTCGCGGCTTTGTTGTGCGCCTCTCGTTCGTGCCGTGCCATCCTCCTCGGATTCTTTTAGCCAGGTGGTCCTGGCTGCAGGGGTTGCGGACGAGGTACAGCAAGGCCTGCGGAGCTTGAGGTTCCGTGGTTACTGGACCTTGTGATGTGCTCCTCGGTTCTGCGCCCACGCTTCCGAAGCCTTCAGAGCGTACCAGAGTCTTCCATGCGTATGTGGCTCGCATGGGCGCAAATCCGGGGAATCATGGCAGAGCAGGTGCCCAACACCGTGACGGTGGACCAATATGTCCAGACAGGCGTTGTCACAGAGCGACCCAGGCCCGTCTGCTGGAGTTCAGTCTTTAAGATCACCGTAGAGTTGCTTTAGAGAGTTGGGGGTCCAGCCGTGAGTAGCATCATGTGATTATGGTGATGGTGGTAGTGGTAGTCGGAAGGGTTCCAGCAGCAGCGAAGCAGCAGCGACTGGTGGTCATTGTGACAAGGGCAGCAGCAGTGGACGTGGAGTGCGCTCAACATCGACAGATGTTCCGAACGTCGCGTTCACAACCAGGGTAGGGAAGACGGGTCAAGAAAGGCGGGGCAAGTCGACAGGGGACCTGAGTGAGTGTTTCTTCACGCTAATATCTGATAATAGCAACAAGCATCATAACAGGGGAAGATGACGAGCAACGTGAGTACTTGATGTGACCGTTGAGGTGGTCTCCGTCTCGGGTGCTTCGACGGCCTCCGACTTCCTTAGAAGGAGCCAGTGCCTTACACAATTCGCAGAGCTATGACCTTCCGCTGTGGACGATGTGGACAACTCGGAGGGTAGGACCTCGGTTCAAGAGGAAACCTTGCAGTGAAATCCGAGAACCATCTGCCAGATCCCTGCTCCAGCTTCTTGTAGCACAGACAGAGGCTGGCCATCCTGCTAGGCTCTGCGCTGTTCAATGCTCTGATGTTCTACTACCCTTTCGCCTACCTTTGTTGCACTACGCCCAAGCAAGGATTCTGCGAGCAATGTGGACTTCAGATCCCCAGCCGCTGGGCAGTTTTCAGGGGCTCGGGACTGTGGGTAACGGGGTGTTGAGGCTTCCGGCTTTAGGCTCTTTGTGGCTTTCGAGGTCAAGACGTCGGTTTTTGCCAATGCTTTGGCCCTTCCTGAGGAATACCGTGCCCGGGTGACCGCAGCCAAGATGATGGGCACCCTGAAAGCGAAGGCCTTGATCCCTGCATCCTTTACGAAAGCCACAACCCAGCCACGAAAAAAAAAAACAGATGGTACCACTTGTATCTGGGGCTATAGGCCGTTGCCTGCGTGTGGGGGGAGCCCTTCTTCAACTGGCCCAGGAGCCCTCCCAAGTGCACCTGGACCAGTCGCTCTACGGCTCGGCCTTCGTCCTGCAAAGAGCCCAGGAACCGGGTCGTAGTGGTGGTGGTAGTAGTAGTAGTAGTAGTAGCAGGAGTAGGAGTAGTAG